AATTTATGAATATTCCTATGATTGGTTTTGCCCTGTATAAAAAAAAACAGAATTAAGAGCTAATAGTATGGAGTACGAAACCCTACAATCCTATAAGCGTATTGATATGAAAAATAATGAATCAATAATCTGAAAACAAATATAAATGACGTTTTCATAACAATTCACCGAAAGAGTGATACACGTCATTTGGCTGAATCCCTATTTTTTCTATGTCTTATGTGACTCACTTCTTTCGCAATTATATCTTTATTAATAATGATATATATGGTGGTTCTGGTAATTAAATGCATTTTATATAATATCTATTGATCATAATTAAAGTGTGTGTGTGCGGGATTCCAATTTCAACATAACTTTTAGTCTAAATTTATAAAACATGATATTTATGATATTTAGTCATAACATGTCTATTGCGCCCCCACTCTTTCATAATTACTGATAATGATAATATTACTGATTTTTCGAAAAACTAGTTTGCATAATAATTTTTTTAGTTGAAAATAGTTTTTATAATAAAAAGATATTTACATAATGACTGTAAAAGTTTGTGTGTTGAAAGCTAATAGCTTGTACTAACATTAAAATGAAAAGTACGTACAAATAAAAACTTTTCATTTGTATTCTGACTAATTTCGTTTCAATGTTATACTTGCGTCAGCAGTTTCTACAACAATTTCAACCCGATAAAAAAACAGTACTTGACAAGTATAAGCTAACTAGAAAATTGCGTGTCATGTTACCGTTGACAGTTTATAGAATTGACGAAATTCATGTACGAATTGAAAGGCTTCAGAGACGATGATTAATCATTCGAAAAGAAATAAATTGTATTATGTACATTTTTTTTATAAAGATTGTATTTTGGATTCAACAGGGTGTCTATTACTGAAATCAACGAATTCTCTTTTCGGTATATTCACGGATTTTTATGAAATTACAGATCTTATTATATATTATGTACGCATTATCTAGGGCATTTACAATATTGCTCTATTTTTTTTATAAATACTATACATTCTTTCTCAAAACTGTATGTACAGAAAAAACATTGGTATTGTATTAGAATGTCGACGTGGTCCCTCTAAATACAGATAATATATCTATTCCATGCTTCTCAGTTTTATGTTAATTACGTACAAAAAAATCGATCCCATAGAAAGACCTTTTCTATAAGAACTTTCTTATTATTGAAAACAGAACAATCCTACTGATATAGATAATTATGTCGGTCATTCGAATAAAACTATTGACAGATAATTCTGTTTTCGCTCTTCGACTAACCAAATATCGCAATTATTAGGACACCGCTAAACGGATAAGGTATAGAACAAGAATGCAATCGAATCGATTATCATAGAAACAAATGATTTTATTTTACGTTAACTTATTACCAATAATATGTATTTGAATAATTTATTATGTGCTATTGAAAATCAGTCTACCGAATATCAAATAATAATTATAGCAACAGAAATGGCTTCTTCCATTATTTACTTATTCTTTATATATGAATCTTAGCTTTAAATATATACATTTACATAAAGTACCGATATACGAACAATCAATGCAAGATATATATCTTGAAAAATTATATTCAAAAACTAGAAAACTTCATTTTTTTTAGGGCTGTTTTATCTTCATTGTGCATTTTTGATTTTTATCAGAACAGATTCTCATACACATGTATACTTATCTTTTCCTTATGAATTGCCCCGATAATTTATTGAAAGATATTGTTTTTTTTCAGGAAGTGCAAATCATTTATATTTTTTATTCTAAAAAAGTTTATATTATTCATATAGAATAACATTTAACTAATGATTGAAGTACAAAAAAAGTATATAGAAGTACGTGTTTTTACCTTTGAATGAATAAGAATATGTCATGATTATATTAACTATCACCCACGCTTAACCCTACGCAGGCAGCCTCATCGAGAACTCAAAACAATCTTGTGATAGCCTAATTATGCAATTTAATCCTGATATAATACATATAAAACAATTTTTTATTCATTATCTTTGTCTTGTTATATTTATTTCGAACACACGTGCATCTATATAGTTACTGGTATTCTGACAATACAGCACAAAAATCACATGCCGATACAAAATTTCACGCTTATAATAAAATGCATATTTACGTTTCTTTCGTGTCTTGTATCAGTATGCAAATTTTTTCTTTTATCCGGAACAAAAATGTCCGTCTTAGAAATAAAAACACTGTATTTCTTTTTCGCGGAATATTAACTAATTTTATCATTAAATCATCAACTAAAGCTTTAAATTTTATTCTTATTTTATTTTATCTATTTCAAAATAAAAAAAAGAAATAGCTTCTACTATGTAGAATTTGCATATCATTATTATAAAATCTAAAATATCTCAATTTTGTTTCAATCAAGTATTTTTGTATAATATAAATCGATAATTTATAAAAGTTGATCACATTGCAATGTTTTTTTCTCTTGACTACTTTGAAAACCAAGTTCAATAATACGAATAACATTATAACCATCTTCCGGTCGAATTTCTAATTGTTTTCCATGAACAATACTATTGTATAATTGCTCATAAAAAAGTCCATAATTACCATTTAATGTTTCATATTTTTCTTTTATTATTCGACCATCTTTTGTTTCTGTATGAAGAAGACCATAATCTTCAATTGGTTCTTTACCCCAATCATTATTTTCATTTAATATTGGTGGCATAACACCAGTTCGAAGTACACCTTCTTGTATATCATCACCATGTTTTATAAATGAACCTTTTGTACCATGTAAAACATATCGTGGACCCATTTCTCGAACAAGCATACTAGATTTAAGTGTTACACGTAAATGACCGTAATCAAGCCGAACATCAAAATAATCATTAACATGTGCAACTGGTCGTTGTATACGAATATCAGCTGTAATTGTTTGTGGATGTCCAAATAAACTTAATGTTTGATCAATTAAATGTGAACCTAAATCATAAAAAATGCCAGCACCTGCTTCATCTCGTTCACGCCATGCGTTATCACCTTTTAATTCAGGTCGATAACGATCAAAATGTATTTCACAATCAAGTATTTCATCACCTAATAATTTCTTTTGAATTATATCATTAATTGTACGATAACCAGAATCATATCGACGATTATGATAAGGACATAAGATAAGTTTATTTTTTTTTGCAAGTTCAATTAATTCAAATGCTTCATTACTTCGAATTGTCATTGGTTTTTCAACAACAACATGTTTACCTTTTTCTAATGCTTCTTTACTTAATGAATAATGTAAATCATTTGATGTTGTTATTATAACAAGATCAATATCCGGATCATTAAATAATTCGGTTGTTGAACGAACGGTTTTTATATTTGGATAAATTTTTATTGCTTCATTTGTATGACGTTCTACTACACTTCGCAATTCATACATATGTGACATTGTATGTAGAAATGGTGCATGAAATACTCGGCCGGATACACCGAAACCAACTAGACCAACTCGTATTTTACGTGAGGAAGACATATGGATTATTTATCTATAAAATATGCATGCAGAATTTTTAAACTATAAACCGAAAGTTCTGAAATATTTATTAATTTTTGAATTATTTCAATTTTTAGGTCATTGTATTAAGTATTTGTTATTTTCAGGGGGTGTGGATGGTATGATATGTTTACCCCTTTGTTTCTATTCTAGATATGCGTGTATGTATTTCTTCTATCTCTCTCTCTTTTCTATCTCGATCACATGTTGTTTTTCTCTTCTATCCTTTTCTTATTGTCGTTGTTTCGAACTATCTTCTAGATTAACGTAATTACGAATAATATGATGACAAACAAAAATAACTTTTTCTTTCTTCCAGAAGAAGAAGATATAGAACTGAGTGACGTAATTTAGGCAGAATATTCGCAACCTTGAAAACATATACGACTTTCTTTTCTCTTTAACCTCTTATCACTAAAAATAACAGAATGAAAGTACCCGAACAAATAAATATCTTATAATAATTCGTACTTATAAACATATTTATTTTTAATAGTAATATTTTCGATGATTTATATCTAATTGAACAAAAAGAGAAGCTTAGTATATTTTTATAATTGGTATATTAAATTAATTTGAAGAAAAACAAAAGTATTTTTATCTATGAAATATAAACCAAAAACAACTGGATTCGTTCCCTCGAAGCGTCACGTTATTTTTCTTTCTTTTTTTTGATGATGTATTATGAGTGCGCATATGAATTATCAAAAATAAATATTGACGATATGTTACCCGATGACCCAATTTCTGCGTGTTTTTTTTATCTATAAGAAAAAAACCGAACTTCGATCTATTGATATGGTTTTCTTAAATTTGTAGAACATAAACTATTAATGTATTTCGGATAAGATAATACTAGAAGCTTTTCATTTTACTTGATGTATAAAATTCTTGAAAGTTTATGTAAATAATTCGTATTTGTTGTTTTTTGATTCAAAATAGAATCGTCCGATTTTTAAGTACGCATTTCAATGTGCCTATTTTGCAGTTTATATTAACAAGAACAATAAGTATGTGTCATCATCATACCATCTGACACACCCCCCAGTGAAAATTAACCAATCAAAAAGCAAGTCCAAAGTATAATATAGAAAATAGACCGACACACCTCCTTTTTTCTCTTCTATACTGTACGAAAGAAAAAGACATTTTCTCTGATTCTCTCTTTATCTCTCTCTCTTTCTCGTGCTTTCTAAACTTTGCCCTTTGTTGCCTATATAAAGACGAACATTTCAGTGTAGTTACATTTACAATTTTGATCAATTTCAAGCAACATTAATAAGGTAATATTTTTAAAAACAAACATAATCGTATGTATTCTCATTTTCTTTTCTTGGTTTTTCACGTTTTACCGAAACAGAAGACAAAAAAAAACGAAGAAGAATAGTCCACTCATGCTAACATAAAAGAGAAATGTAGACAAGCACACACACACATATAAAGATCATAAAACAACGTTTTTTTTTGACCGGAAGTGAAGGTAGTTATCCTTCCTAAAATGAAGAGATAGAGGCAAAGATAGAAAACAAAACAACAATAATAATAATAATAATAATAGTAATATAAATAATAATATAAGAGTAACAACATCTTGACAGTTACAACAAAAACAACAACAACAACAATAAAATATAGTTGTATCGAAAACAATAATCCTCTTCCATTTCTTTTTTCATTTTGAGATATTAGTTGAGATTTTAATTGCTTTTCTTATTGCTATGACCACTAACAGCAAGAACCGGTTGTTCAACTGTTTCATCATTCTCAGATTTTCCATTTGTTAAACCTTTTTGTTTAAGTTTATTAGGCACTTTAGGTGAAGCCATTGCTGTTGGTCGTGTATTGCGTTGTTCACGTCGACGACGCATATGAAACTAAATATACAAATTTAGATTAGTTAGATTATAGAGTAAGAATATATAGATTTCTGAATAGAGTATTACTTGAATAAAATTCCAAACGAGCCAGAATTGTAAGACACCGGTAGCAGCAAGTGTAAAAAGTCGAACAGCAGGTGTATTAAAATTTGAGATAATAATGGATTCATTCAATGTACCATTATTTTCATTTGTATTTGTTACGGGAGCTGTTGTAAATGTAATTTTATTGATTGATGAAGTTTTTAAACCAAACCAAAATGTTAACCAGGCTAAAACAACTGAAGCGAGACGTCCAAAAACAAAAATAACATTCCATATTTTAAATAAATAAGTTGACATTGATTTAGCTGTAGCTGAACCTGTTTTAATAGTAGCATAAAAATGTGCAAGTCGTGATGAATGATAGAATATTTCAATTAAATAATGTATTGTTAATAAAACAAGTGATATACGCCAGAAACGTGTTAAATAAGCATAGAGAATTGTTATTAAATATAAACTTGTATAAACAATACGAGCTGGCATATCTTCTTTTCGAACTTTTTGTAAATATAATTCGGGGAAATTATGTAACCAATATGCTAATTGAACAATAAAATAAAGTTTTGTCCATGTTGACATACCAGTATAAGGATAATCACGCCAAAGATATTCTAATCCTGATCGAAAATAAGATTCTTCATTAAATAACATTATTCCCCAAAGAACACTAACAATATAAAAGAGAATAAGTTGACCAGATTCAAAAAATTTAGCATTCTTAGATTTCGATAAATGTAATTTTTTATATAATTTATCCAAAACATATTCTTGCCAAATAGCATGAGCAGTTATACAGATAAGTGTATATGAAAAAAGCATAGCTAAATCTTTATAACCATAATTAAAAAGTGGAGCTGGTGTAGCATTTAATGAATCAAAAGTTGTTACATTATGACGTGGACCAAAAAATGCCGTACAATAAGGTGATGTTGCTTGAATTACTGTACCTAATGCTACAAGCATCAAAATACCACAGGCAATATCACCTAAATAAATATTTAGTATTAGATTTATTAATCTATATATTTATTTCTCCTTACCATGATTTTGAATGAGATATTCTTGACTAAGAATGGGCGGATTTTTTGTTCCCGTTTTTTTCTTAAGTGCGGCTGGTGGTGGTGGCATAATGATGTTGTTAATATTTTATAAAAAAATATGGAAGAGAAAAAAATAAAAACAACAAGCTATCTAGAATATAAATTATAATATAATTTTCTTTTTTAGGTTAATTATAAAACAATAACTTCAACATAAAAAATGGAAATGTTTGCTCATGCAAATAATTCATTCGATGGTCTTCCATCGAAAATTCGTGAATATGTCGAAGAAAAAATAAAATTATGTCAACCATCAAATTTTCATGTTTGTGATGGAAGTGAGAAAGAAAATCAACAATTACTTGATGCTATGGAAGAAGCTGGTGTTGTTCGACGTCTTATGAAATATAAAAATTGGTAAAAATTTTTTTAACTTATTTTAAATTTTTATGATTTTTTATTTTAGTTATATTGCCACAACTGATCCACGTGATGTAGCACGTGTTGAATCACGTACAGTTATTTGTACAAAAAATATGAATGATATTATTTCAATACCAGCTGCAGGTTTTCCTGTAATTACAGATCCAAATATACCGAAAAATTTAAAACAAACACCATTAGGAAATTGGATGGATACAGATGAAATGTTAGAAATTCTTGAAGAACGTTTTGATGGTTGTATGCGTGGTCGTACACTCTATGTTATTCCATATATGATGGGTCCATATTCAAGTCCATATTCAAAAATAGCTGTTGAATTAACAGATTCACCATATGTTGTTGTATCAATGCGTATTATGACACGTATGAGTTCAAATGTATTTAATGAAATGAAAACTTTAGATGGTTCTGATATTGTAAAATGTCTTCATTCAGTTGGTGTACCATTACCAACAGATAAACCAATATCACCAACATGGCCATGTAATCCCGAAAAAACATTAATAACACATTTTCCTGAACGAAATGAAATTATTAGTTTCGGTAGTAATTATGGTGGAAATTCATTATGTGGAAAAAAATGTTTAGCTTTACGTATTGGAAGTTCATTAGCTAAACGAGAAGGATGGTTAGCTGAACATATGCTTGTAAGTTACATATTAGTCGATAAGGAAATTTTTTTATTGTGTAATATTCTATTCATTAGATTATGGGCGTAACAAATCCTGAAGGTATTAAGAAATATTTTGTTGCTGCTTTTCCAAGGTAAGAAATCGAAAGGTCAAAAATTGTATTAATGATTATTTTTTAGTGCTTGTGGAAAAACAAATTTAGCCATGCTTCGACCAGTAGGAATTCCAGGATATAAAGTCGAATGTATTGGTAAGTCGAAGAAAGTTTTATAAAGAATAAAAATCGTTTATTTGTTTTGTTTAGGTGATGATATTGCTTGGATGCATTTTGATGAGGAAGGTCGTTTACGTGCTATTAATCCTGAATTTGGATTTTTCGGTGTTGCACCTGGTACAAGTAAATCAACAAATCCAATTGCATTAGGTAATTAATTACGAAATAGTTTTTATTCTTTTTTTTTACCAACAATAATTTTCTTAGATATGGTTCATGAAAATACAATTTTTACAAATGTAGCTGAAACAAGCGATGGTGAAGTTTATTGGGAAGGAATAGGAACAGATATTGATGGTTTACATCAACCATCAATACGATCATGGAAAAATAAACGATGGTCAGTTGATTTAGGAGAACCAGCTGCTCATCCAAATAGTCGGTAAGATTAAAAAAAACAAAGCGAGCATCGATCTTCATATAAACAATTTTCTTTTTACTATAGTTTTTGTACATCAATTGAACAATGTTCAATACTCGATCCTGAATGGAATAGTCCACAAGGTGTTCCTATTGATGGAATTATATTTGGTGGACGACGACCTGTAGGTGTTCCATTAATTTATGAATCATTTAATTGGCAACATGGTGTTTTTGTTGGTGCAAGTATGCGTTCGGAAGCCACTGCAGCCGCAGAATTCAAAGGTAAAAGAAAACGTTACATAAGTTTGTTCTTATCTAAATATTATCTTCCTTAGGCAAACAAATCATGCATGATCCATTTGCAATGCGACCATTTTTTGGCTATAATTTTGGTAGTTATCTCTCACATTGGTTATCATTTGGAAAAAAAGATGGCCTTCATTTACCAAGAATCTATCATGTCAATTGGTTTCTTAAAGATTCATATACGAATGAATTTCTTTGGCCAGGTTTTGGTGAAAATATCCGTGTAATTGATTGGATATTTCGTCGTTTAACTGGTCAAGCTTCAGCATGTAAAACACCAATTGGTTTAGTACCTGATCAATCGGATTCAAATGGTATTCGCGGTGGTGAAGTCAATCCAAAATTATTAGAAATCTCAAAAGATTTCTGGAATGATGAATGTAAAGCTATGCGAAAATATTTTGAAGCTAATGTCAGTACAAATTTACCTGATGAAATTCAATCAGAATTAAATAACCTTGAAAAACGCTTATCGCTTATGTGAATATATATTGTTTTACGTTCTTTATACATAATTGTTATTAGTAATCTCTCGTTTGGTATTTTTTTTATTCTCGTCCGCTTCTTTTCTTATTTCGAATTAAAACATAAGATAGTTGAGTTTTACGTTGATTTTTTTTTTGAAATAAAGAAATGCGCGCACATTATATTAAGAAAGAATTCTATACATACAAATAATAATCGTGTGAGTGTGAGTCTGTTGTAAATATTATTAAGCATCACTTTCAGTTGCTAATGTTGGAGGAACAATAGACGAAGGTGATGGTGGACTATCACCATTTTTTAATGGTTGACTAGGAGTTGTTTTGATTGGTGAAGTTTGTTGATTCATAATGGTTGGGATATCTTGATTAACGCCATTTATCGGAACAATCAAATTGTCTTTTGGTATAAGGCCATAACGTATTGCAAATACAGTAAAACGACGGCAAAGATGTGTACGTTCTTCAAATTCATCATAAAGTGAACGATGATGATAATATGCATGAGAAAATATTCGATATATACGACGACATACACTACCTAATTTAGCAATTGATGTTTCTTTTATTGAAATCCTATGTAAAAAAAATTGATATAATGAGACGACAGTTTATTTGTGCATAAATATAGAAAAAAAAGGAGTAATATTACTTTTTTATGGTTCTATTAGTAAAACATCCTTGGGGCATAGATGCGCACGTAGGTAATATAATTATTACTCACACCTACGTCTATCTATATATTCGGTATGTATGAGTTTGGTC